AGACAAACTTGCCAGCAGAGTACTGGGGCTTCTAACGGCCGTTTCATGCAGCGGAGGGTGTCCTGTTCGCGGTCAAAGTAGGAGGACATACAAGGACGTTTCGGAGGTTTGAAGTAAGAAAACAGAAAGCGAAAAAGGCGGTCACATGATCTGCGGAACAACAGATCCGCCGCCCCCACGAACCTTATTTTCACGTGATGAACACTTTTTCTTGACATCTGAAATAGCAACATTCAATTGTTTATAGATAGATGGCCAGGAACAGCAGTAAACAATCGGAGATTGGGGAACAATATAGCATATAATACTGCTGAATTGAGGATAGCAGGAGGACAAGCTGTTATACGCAGTTAGCAGGGGCGGAGCAACCGAGAAAACGGAGAGTGAGTGCAGCATGTCGAAGGCCGCCGCGGATCAGACTACCGACCACTCGCGATGGAGGCTCCGCAATGACCGTGGAACCCAGACATGGCACTATCTACGGACAGACAAGGAAGTCGAAGAATGGCCGCAGACTATAACAGACAAGTATTTCCTGGGTCAGCCTCTGGTTGGAGCTCCCCTCTTCTCCCCTTCAGGCCCGCCCTGGCAGCTTGCTTGTTGTTTTACGTTTTACCCCCCTGACTGTGTAACTGGAGCTAACCCAGCTTCCATGTACTCTAGGACCTCCCGGAGCTCCCGCCTGCCAAAACTCCCCTGCAGTCCGCTTCCAATGGTTTGGATTTCTTCTCTAAACTTCAATTGGAACCGGGGAACTGGGCCTGCGAGTATGGTGGACCCATGTTCCTCCTACCCGGTCTAATTGTCACTTGGTATGTGACACGCACCCCGGTACCACCTGAATTCTCTATCGAGATCAAGAGGTATCTCTTTGCCAGGCAGCATCCGGAAGATGGAGGGTGGGGCCTTCACGTCGAAGGCCACAGCTCTGTGTTTGGCACTGCCATGAATTATGTTGCCGTGCGGCTGCTGGGGGCCAGTCCTAAGGATCCTCGGATGGTGAAGGCGCGGAACAAGCTGCATGAGTTGGGTGGTGCTCTGTATGGGCCTCACTGGGCCAAGTTCTGGCTCTGTGTCCTCGGAGTCATGGGATGGGACGCTCTCAATCCAGTGCCTCCTGAGTTATGGTGAGTGGCCACTCTCTCTTCCTCCTTGGTGGAGTATACATCGCTCTAACCGGTCACAACAAATTCATATAGGCTACTTCCTGACTGGGTGCCGTTTGCTCCATGGCGGTGGTGGGTTCATATGCGACAGGTTTTTCTCCCAATGACCTATGTCTATTCTAAACGGTTTAGCCACCCAGCCGACTCTCTTACCCGAGAAATACGGGAAGAATTATATACCCAACCCTACGGTTCTATTAATTTCGCCTCTTACAGAGGTTGCATTGCTGATGCTGACAACTATCACCCTAAATCCGCGCTTTTGAAGATTCTCTTCTGGATCCTTGCTAACATATGGGTCTACCTGCGCTGGCCAGGCCTTGTCAAGGCAGCAGAGGCCAGGGTTTGGCACCTGATTCAACGGGAGGACGAGAACACCGATTATGCATGTCTTGGACCTGTCAATGCTCCCATGAACACCTTATGTTGTTACATCCACGATGGGCCCGAGAGCAAGTCTTTCAATCGCCACCTGGAACGTTTACATGACTTCCTCTGGATGAAAGACGAGGGAATGTTAATGAACGGCACAAACGGTGTTCAGCTCTGGGATACTGCTTTCGTGATTCAGGCCGTAGTTGTTGCAGGTCTTGCGGAGGACCCTAAATGGAAGCCAATGTTGGTAAAGGCCCTTGAATTCGTTGAGGACCATCAGATGCTTGAAACCATTCGCGAGGAAAAGGACTGCTATCGGTTCGAGACGAAGGGAGGATGGCCCTTCAGTACTAAGACTCAGGGATACACCGTTAGTGACTGCACCGCAGAAGGGTTACGGTCTGCTCTTCAGCTACAAAAACAACTTGGTTACCCAGCTCTCATATCTGACGAACGACTCAAGTACGCCGTGGACACACTCCTCAAAATGCCTAACCCAAGTGGCGGGTTTCCGGAGTATGAACCTGCCAGGGCCTCGGAATACGTCGAGATGCTTAATGCTGCGGAAGTTTTCGGCGGTATAATGATTGGATACACTTTCCCCGAATGTACCACTGCGGTCGTCACAGCATTATCCTACTTTAGCAAGTTCTTCCCGGACTATAGAACAGAAGACATCAAGAAAGTCCGTGAAGCTGCTATAGACTATATTCGACGTGTACAACGCCCTGACGGTAGTTGGTATGGAAGCTGGGGTATTTGCTTCACATACGCCGCCATGTTCAGTCTGGAAAGTTTGGCTACTGTGGGTGAAACTTACGCTACTAGTGAACGATCCCGCCGCGGCTGTGAGTTCCTTCTGTCTAAACAAATGGAAGACGGCGGTTGGGGTGAATCGTACCTCAGCTGCTCGAAGAAAGTCTATCACCATTACCATACCTCTCAGGTCGTCCAGACGTCCTGGGCCTGTCTCGCGTTGATGGAAGCAAATTACCCCCACAAAGAGCCTTTGCAACGTGCTATGAAACTCCTGATGTCTCGACAGCAGCCGAATGGCGAATGGTTGCAGGATGGCATTGAAGGAGTTTTCAATATGTCCTGGTAAGTTCTTAATACTTTCTGTTTCCCCTATTTATACTTCAACATTACTAACATATATCAGTATGATCACGTATCCTAACTATAAGTATTACTGGCCAATCCGGGCTCTCGGCCTTTACGCAAAGAAATTCGGCAATGAAGAGATCGTCTAGATACGCTACCGCAAACGATATTTGAATCAATGTGAATGGGACAGGGCAACAAAAGGGGGACTGGTTTTCAATATATAACAATCTTAATAACGTCTCGTAGGGAGAATTCCATTCTAAATTTTAATCATGGCCTACTATTCTCCTTTTCTTCTACACAGTTGTTACCTACCAACCTAAACCATCAAATCCCAGCCGGGGGGCCTTAACAAGGTCACGTGAAGATAGCAATTGATCTCGAGCTTTCGCTAAGCTTCCATCAAACCCAAAACCAAAACAACCTACCGGTATCTACGTAGCTCTGGTCAACTAACAACAACAAGCCTACACCGATCAAATCATCGTTCCTGCAGGATGGATGACGCTCAAAGGGGAGCCAAGGCTCTGGATAACTCTGACTTTCCTGCCGCAATTAAATGCTATACCAAGGCCTTGACTGTTAACCCCCACGCCACAGACTACTACATCAAGCGGTCAACTGCATATTCGCGAGTAAAGCCTGAAGATGGCGGCCCTAAGCTACAGGAAGCTTTGCATGATGCTGATATGGCGGTTGCTCTCGGCATCCAGCGAGCCAGACGGGAACAAATCATTGCCGGACAAATGAGGCGAGGTATCGTTCTCTATCAAAGTGAACGGTACGGCGACGCACAGCTTATTTTCCAGGTGGTGCGCGCGAAAGTGGGACAGGAGGATGATAGCAAAAAGGGCGATATCAGAGCTGCGTTAGCTAGTCATGAAAATCCAGCAGCCTCTCAAGATAAGAAGACTAGACAACAGCTCCAGATATGGGAAATGAAAGTCAAATCACAGATGGCTAAACTCGAATCTTCGGATGAAAAGACCAGGGTTGTGGTTAAGGAGATCCCAGACATCAAAGTACCGACTCAGGATGAGTTGAAAGCGATATACCGTGCGCAGCTCGAGAATGGAAGTGCCTCTTCTACTCCAAACCCGAGTGGATTGTCTACTACGCAGGAAAATAAGGATACAGCCGCGGAGGCCAATCCTGCTCCATCGATAGCGAACCCTCCTCCCACGCCTCTTCCATCTAATACCCCAAGTAGGACAAGGCATGAGTGGTATCAGTCTAATGACAGTGTGGTAATTACCATATATGCGAAAGGAGTTCCCAAGGACAAAGCGGACGTCGACATTCAAGAAACTTCGGTTAGAATTCAATGGCCTATGCCCCTCTAAAGCTTTGAGTATGCGTTACTAACTGCCTCTAGTTTTCCATTACCTTCCCTCTTCCATCAGGGTCTGAATTCTCGTTTGTTCTAGATCCTCTGTTCGCTCCAGTCGATCCATCCTCTTCAAAATTCAATATAATGTCTACTAAAGTCGAGGTTACTTTACGCAAACAATCAGCCGGTAGAAAGTGGGCGACCTTAGAAAGCACCGGTCAGCAAGAAGAGAAGATATCTTCAGGAGCTACGGCTTTGAAGGATGCCTCTAACCAAGCAAACCAGCCTATCAAAACCGACAAGGCTCCTGTATACCCAACATCTTCCAAATCTGGGCCCAAGGATTGGGATAAAGTCGTATCAAACATCCAGAAAAATGAGAAGAAAGCGAAGAAAAGCGAGAAAGGAAATGATTCAAAGGGAGATGACAAGGAAGATGACCCTGACTCAGATTTATCAGATTACGGGTCTGGTGACGCCGTGGATTCATTCTTCAAGAAATTATATGCCAACTCCGATCCAGATACCCGACGTGCAATGACTAAGAGCTTCTACGAGAGTAATGGAACTGCGTTGAATACCAATTGGAGTGAAGTCGGAAAAGGCAGAGTCAAAGAGCATCCACCATCTGATGACTAGTTATTAACTAAAAGATACGTATCCGGGGATGCTAACTATTCAGCTGGTAAAACAAAACACCAGTTCATGGCTATACGATAATTTACGAGTACGAGTTACGGCAACCCTGATAACAAAGCGAAATCAAGTTTTATTGTTTGTTGACATGGGGTACTGCATTCTTATATCAATATGTATTATCTATTTTATCATCAGATAATAGTATACGCAGTTATATCATTCACTTCCAGATGAATAACGAATTCTACCCTAATTAAGTGAAGACATATAGTTAATGTCTCGCTATACCTTAGCGTGCAGGCCCTTTTTATTTTGGCTAAATATTAACTAGTGAGGATCAAGTATAAATGGAGTCTATATAAAACACATCGGCCCCTTACTCTCTAGCTGTTGTTACATTCATCCTTACTTCGATACAGAATAAATTGAGAAAATATAGCCAGGTCCATGAACAAAGTACCCAAGCTTCCCAATAACCATGAAGCATTAACAGCCATATACCGTCCATATATACTTTGTCGTTCTCCTGGTAGACACCTACCATTTTTACCTTGGCAAACCGGCGAGTATGCAAAGATAGAGAGGACATAAGTCAGATTGCCAATGCATGCAAATAGGAAGAAGAGTAGCGATACTCCTTCAGTGCTCTTCCGGCGCCAATTCAGCAGGAGTTGAGGGATTCTGCTGGCAAGATAGAACAAAGCACAAAGATATCCAAACACTTGACCCGTAATATCGAATTGGAGCGTGCCGTCTGATTTTGGAATATCATCCCCCTTGTGATGTCTCTTCCTTGAAGTGGCACTAACATACCACCCTAGAATTCCAGCAGCGCAAACGAGAGTGATGCTGAAGGTGTTGAAGGCTATTATCTGAAACGTTGATGACGGCCGTGGGGGAGTATCGGTGACTTCTTTCCTGAGAGGCACTGCTGGCGAGAGATGGGTTCCGTCGACAGCTGTAAGGTGGTTTCGTAAAGAGGCGACTGAAGTAAGAGATTCCCGTCGCTGCTTAGTGGCCGGTCTGCCATTTGAGCCATTATGTTCCCCTCCTGGTGTGTTGTGTAGTAAGGGTGTTCGCTCGGATGATGGTACCGTTTGTATTGCAGTTTCAGATGACGAGCTGGCTCTTCCAGCTTCCGGCTCTGGAGGTTTGGTGCTTTCTGATATACCGAGTCCACGGTAATAGAAACATTGACCAAGCAAGACAATGTCTGCAATAGTGTAGTATACTGCCAATATGATCATAGTAGGCAGAACACCTTGCATAACGGCTCCAATAATATTGAAGACATCCCCGGCAAGCCAAACGATAAGGAATTCCAGAGAAAGTCCATCAGCGGAGCTCCGTCGGAAGTTTTCAATTATCTGAGGAGAAAATACAACAACCCAGCAAGCTATTGATATGGATCTATCAAATACATCAGCACATAACATGGAAAGTGAATCTCCTCCCAGCAAGCCCCAAGCCTAGCTCTATACGCCAAGTATAGCATGTCAAATATTAGGCAAGGAAATTAGCCATCATAACCTACCCGCAAATCCCGCTCAATGCTTCGATGCTCGTTGCAGAGTTGAGGGGAAGCATATCTACCCTCAGAGTTAGGGTAGTTAAGCAAACAAAACCAAATGACGAAAGTGCTCGACGAAAACAGAATCACAGATACTGCTATCTCCAATGTATGAAATGGCTTTTATTTTCTGGCTTTTGATCTGTTAAAGAGCTGGATCCATGACAAGCAGGTTTGCAATGCAATGAATAAAAAAAAAGTCTTTCCATGGAAAAGGTCAAAATGTCGACGTCATATTCACGTGACTCTGTTTCTTCCCAAGGTTCCGTGGCGAGCTCACCCGAGGGAGAAGCAAGTAGAAAAGATATATAAACAGAATTAAGAGAACGGGTTCATGGAGTGGGTGTGACATCGTCGTGATTGGTATCGCTAACGACGTCTTTCCACTCTTCTAAAAGAGCAAGAGTATCCTTGCACTTATCCCGCATCAGCTCGCAAGCTTCTGCACCCAGAGCAACTCGGACTGGAATCTTCCGGCCAGCGGCACAGCCAGTCTGCGTGAGAATGTCAACAATAATCTTGCTACCTTTTACCAGATCTCCGGGTTGTTTATGATCTTGGCTATTGCTTTCTTCGATTGCTGCTCTGGTAGGAGTGTTGTCGTAATCTGGAATGGGATGTAGTGCAGCAAATCGATGGCCTGCAGCCAGTAGATTTGACCGGAAATCACCAGGCTCAGGGGAGGTGACAGAAATCCCAAATGGTTCTAATTCTACACGAAGTGTCTCTGTAGCTCCCGAGAGGGCCTTCTTTGTCGCAGAATATAGTCCTCCTCCAGCAGTATTCGTCCAAGATCCAGCGCTGGACGTATTGGCAATGACACCGGAATGCTGCGATCGCATATAGGGCAGGATCGCACGGATAACGTTTAGCGGCCCAAACACGTTTGTGTTGAACAGGGCGTAAGTTTCCTCCGGACTGTTGTGAGAATGTTAGGGATAAACATTCCCAGAGATTGGAGGTGGATGGCAGGAGATATCCTACCTTACTTCCTCCAAAGCGCCTTGTTGGATGTATCCAGCATTATTGACAAGAATATCAATACGTCCATAGATGTTGTAGGCCTCCCAGACAAGACGTCTGATATCGTCAAGACTACTCGTGACGTCAAGTCCAAAGACGTCAGCGCCAGCATCCTTTAACTTGCCAATCCTTTCAAGCTTCCTAGCAGTCGCAATCACTTTATCGCCTCGTCTCAGGGCTTCGAGAGTCATCTCCCATCCGAAGCCGGACGAGCAACCGGTGATAAACCACACTCGAGGAGCCATGTTCGACGAGTGAAAGCAGAAAAATGATGTGAAAAAGCCCAGACTGTTTCAATCTTTGCCATTCAAAGGGATTAAACCAATGGAGCTTATATAGCAATCTCAGTTATCGTCCTGAGGCGCATTCTTCCGACTTTCAGGGATGTTTTCGGTGTCATCCACATCAAAGCCTCGGGTTATTCGTCAGAGTTGCGGGAGGATCCAGAGACATTAAGAGCAGAAGCGGGATTTCTCCTGTCCAACGTAATATCTCAGTCAGCTTGCTGTTCGCCCTTTCTTGACAGTCGATTGGAAGGGTTGCGTAGGCTTTGGTGCACTATGGAACCCTAAAACAAAACCCGCAGAGTCACACCCGGAACATCCCCGGAGGTGTATTTTCATAACGGTAGAGGCGGATGTGTCCCCTAGCTTACTCTCGTCGTAGAATCTTGCGGTGTGAGGGTTAATGACGCTTGACGATCTCATGGTGTCCTCATGAGAAATAGACTGAGAAGCGGAAGACGTTCCAGTGACGTCGTCACTTACACAGTTCCAAATCGGGCCCGGATTGGACGGGAGGATCGCGGAACGGAGATACTTTAATCCTTAATTATACGGCACCCGACACAGACCAGTTGCGCCTTCCATTCATAGACTTCTAGTACGATTATACAGAATGATATCTCATATTATCAGACATGCGTACTATATATAGGCTCTAAAGGGCCTGTCCACTCTTGCTAGCTAGGTAAAGCCTTTGATATACGCCCCCAAGGGATATCAGTTGTGTGTGGGTCCCGGCTTCGACGATGCGCCCATCGCTCATAACATAGATCCGGTCTGCGTTGACGACGGTGCTCAGTCGGTGAGCAACAGTGATCGTCGTACGCCCCTGTTTAGCTTTCTCAAGAGCCTGCTGAATGCTTGCTTCTGACTGTGAATCCAATGCAGACGTGGCTTCGTCCAGTAGCAAGATCCTGGGTCGGCGAAGGATAGCTCGAGCAAGCACGACACGCTGCTTCTGGCCAACACTAAGTTGGTTGCCTTTGCTGCCTACTTCTGTGTTGTAGCCGTCACTGGAAAATGATTAATGGTTAGATTATAAAATAAAGGTGAGGATTGAGGCTAGAAACTCACGGAAGACTGATGATGAAGTCGTGGATATTAGCTTCACGACAGGCATCATATATTTCTTCATCTGTTGGCTTTTCATTTTCACCTTGTCCAAGGATCAGGTTCATCTTCAGTGTACCACTAAAGAGGTTAGGCTCTTGGCTAACCAGCCCTATGCGACTGCGGTACTCTGACAGGCAGAGAGACCGGATGGGCTTCGAGTCAACAAACACTGTTCCGCCAATAGGGTCATAGAAGCGCTCGATCAGTGAGATAATAGTACTCTTGCCGGAACCAGTGGCGCCGACAAAGGCCACGTTTGCTCCTGCTGGGATATTAAAGCTCACTTGGTCTAGGGCGCGGTGGTTTGGGCGTGAAGGATATGAGAAGCTAACAGAGTCAAAGGCGATGTCACCGCGCATTGGGGTCAGTTTCTCTCCGTAAGGGGATGACGGGTCTATAGACGATTTTTGTGTCAACAAGCGCTGCAGAGATGCGGCAGCTTGCTTTGCCTGGCCGATATTCGGAGTCCAGGAGAATACCAAACCCGCAGAGATAGCACTCATAAGCATCGCAGACTGGACGGCGATCGATTGGAAAAGGGTATACTCTCCACTGAGGATTAGCTGACCGCCATACCAGAAGCTGAGGGCCATGCAGGCATAGTAAGCTGATTGGGTTAAGGCGTACATGAAGGACGCTTTCAGATTTGCTCCCAGAGCATCCTTTTTAGTGCTGTTGAGAATTGCCTCAAACTCTGCCAGTGCAACCTTCTCCCGGGTTAGAGCAGCGATAGTCTGAATACCATTGAGCGTCTCTCCAGCAAATTCAGCAGCTTTATTGGCAAAGACCTCATTGTTTCTCTCAAATTCTCCAACAAGTATAATCCCAAGATACCCACCTCCTATCATCAAGGGGACCACCGCGAAACACACAAGCGCTAGCTTCCATCCAAGTGCAAATCCAACAATGATTCCAGAAACAAGCGAAGAGATACAGATAAGGATGGCGCCCAGAGCGCTACCACTCAATCCTGTCAGGTCACTGGTAGAATTGGAGAGGAACCCAGAGAGGGCAGCCGCAGAATTTTCTTTCTTATCAAAGAAGGATATGTCCATTCTCAAGTATTGGCTGAGCGCGAGAGACCGAACTCGTTTCGTGAGATGCTCTGAACTGAAGGCAAAAGTGACGCCTTGAACGGCGAACCCTATCAACATCACAACCGCCAGAGCAAAGAACATCCATGCATAAAAGCTTGCATTAGATTGGATCTTGTCTGCGTGGTCTAGGGGTTGGGAGATGGACGTGATAGCTTTACCAAAAAGAACTGCAGATGCTGGTTCTTCAAATCCCACGACAATGCAGCAGATGAGTCCTATAATGAGCCAATGCGATTCTCCCTCGTTGAGCCTGAAAATAAATAAGATCATGGACCAGAGCAAAGACGAAAATCTTGATTTTGCATCGTTATCACCTGCCATAACTTTGTGAACCACTTCAGTTGCAGGTGGACTTTCGTCCCTTTCATGAGCAGGGGTAACATTGGCTGTCTCAGGAATCATTGATGTAGACATCCGATTTTTATTCCCTATATCCTGTGCCTGCACCAGGTCATAATAAAATGATTTGGCAGCCAGCAAGTCATCGTGCTTTCCGCTCTCGACGACCCGGCCTGCGTTGAGAACAATGATATTATCCGAATTGCAGATTGTGGAGAGGCGATGGGCAATAACTATGGTGGTCCTCTTGCTGTCTTTTCCTGCCATGGTCGATAACAGCTTGGCTTCTGTCTCGCTATCAAGGGCTGAAGTCGCCTCGTCTAGGATAAGAATCCGAGGATCTCTAACCAAAGCTCGAGCAATAGCGATCCTTTGGAGCTGGCCTCCAGAGAGTCTCGAGCCACGTGTACCTACGACTGTGTCATATCCCTGAGGCAGCTGGTCAATAAATTCACTTGCCTGAGCTATATCGGCAGCTCTATATACGGCTCGTTCCCGTTCAAGCGAAGAGGCTGTTTCCCACCGAGGCCCGGTAAATCCACAGGCAATGTTCTCAAAGATAGACCGATTAAACATGAACGACTCCTGCTTCACGACTGCGATCTGTTGACGAACCCAACGAAGCTGGTAATGTGACAGGTCTGTTCCATCCAAGAGGATACGCCCTGCCAGGGGATCATAGAAGCGCAAGAGAAGATTTGAGATAGAGCTTTTCCCGGATCCGGAGTGTCCCACAATAGCTGTAATTTGTCCCATTGGAAACTTGATGCTCACGTCTTTCAATGTGACGACGTTTGGCCGGCATGGATATATGTGCCTCACCTTACGAAGCTCTAAAGTGCTGTCAAAGCGCTCTGGTATATACCCGTGGTCCGAAGATGAATCTATTAATGACACGCGTTGAATGATCCTTGCCAGACGGCCGGCTCCAGCTGTAGCTGCAGCAAATGCCTCTAAATTGGAGCCAACACCCAATACGCAGAAGGCAGCAGACTTTGATATCATTGAGATGGCTACAATTGAAGTAAAAGACGTTTTTCCCTCTGTAAGTCGAATTGAACCTTGCCAAAATGCTAACGCAACATTGAAATAGCCGCTTGCGATGCAGATGGTGAGAAGGAGTTGGTTGAGCGAAGAGAGAACAAAACCATGCTTGGCCGCTTGCGCCAAAAAGTTCATGTATTTTGCATGAATATATGGCTGCATGCCTAAAGAGGTTGCCGTTTTGATAGAGCCGAGGGCCTCTTCGACCACAGCTGATCCGGCCGACGACGCCTCGATGCTGCGACCACTGTATAGAACGGTTAACTTGCCACCAAAGTAGAGGACTCCGTAACCCAGTGCAAAAGACCAAATCATTTCAAGCATCAAGACCCAATCAAGAATGAAACACACCACAATAGTAGTGATAAATGTGCCAAAGGCGCTGATGGTCTGTGACAGCTTGGAGGATATTGCATTCTGTATTGCCTTCGTGTCGTCCGTGAGATGGGAAAGAATATCACCAGATCCATTGTCGTCGAAAAGCGCCATATTTTGCTTCAAAACTGCTGCAAGGTATTGCATTTTGATTCGGTGGGCGACTCTAGCTCCCACGAAGTTGAAGCCAGCCGTCGAGACAAACCATGTTACCAGAGCTGTGATAAGGACATAAACATAGTATACCACATACTTGTCCAACAGTGGTTTCACACTGTAGCCGTTAGACTCAGCCCTGGCAAAGGCGAGGATAATCCGCGAGCTGATAAGCTATATAATCGAAGTATACCGTTAGTTTATATACTTTGCGATCAATGGAGGAAGCAGTGCGGATTACCGGTGTAAATGGCACCAAGCCACCCGCAACAATCGCGCATACAGTGCATATGGTGATAAGGACAGTTTCCGGCCAAGTTGCATAGCTAAAGATGCTGAAGAAGGACAGCTTCACATCTTCCACTCGCAGTTGGGATGCCAGGGCTTCTTGCTCATCAGCAGCCACATCTGTCAATGTTCCGTACGCAGCAGGCCTTGCAACCCCAGACAATAATTTCCTCTGAGCAGACTCTCTTCGTTCATCGTTGCCGACCATGGCGGCGCAAATTCTGGGAAATGACTGACACTATCAGCCAGTAGTTCAGGACCAACGTTGGAGAGGTCTTTCATAGAGCGTATATAGCAGTCAGAGCAATGGGTATCATAGGAAAGACCGGCCCAGGATGATGGCTGTCTTTTACTTATTATTGCCAACCTTAGTTATCCCTAGAACCGGGTAATGTATTCAATTGGGGGCAATGGGTTCGGATTCTGGTAAACGTGGTTCACACTGCTGGGGGATGTTCGGCGAGCCAGACTGGGAATAGAGCTCCGTTTAGCTATCCTTCTACGGTGGATCAGATATACGGAACAGCTGTGAGAATGTGCTATACGCTGATCAACAAGATTCCTCGCAGATCAAGATGAGTTTGGCGTTTTCTACCCCCTGGTCGAGCTGGCTGAGTCGGAGGCCAAACCCGGTTAACCTCTCGTAGTCAGCTGAGTGTACTCCGTCCAGGGTACATGAGTTCTCGCTGCATCTGCCCCTGAAAGAGAGAAATTCTCCAGCATTCTGTGTGTAAGATTACTCCCATTTTAGCGAGAGAGGAATTGGGCGTTGCCCTGGGGTTATCGTGCTATGAGCATCCAGAGGGGTATGCAGAAGTGGTGGATTTACATACTTCGCTGAATTGGTGCATTTCTATATTATATCAACATCTACAAAGCGTCAGCAGCCTGGGCTTTGAATTGCTCTATGGCTTCCCGCTTCAGCTGTCTTTTGCTCTTTATAGGGCCATTGCCATTGCTCTCTGTCGGAGTGATCTTTGACGGCCATTTCTCTCTGCAGCGTTTCTCATCTTCCTCTGACCAGGCACAGGGGAGAATCGCAAATACTAGGTATGATGTATGTGTCTTAAGCTCAGGCTCGGAACGGTGAATAAGCGTTCCCTGCTTGTACTGCGGAACTGAGGGCTTTGGCTGCCACGTCTTTTCAGCCCTTGCAGGTCTTGACTCTGCAGGGCTATCCTCCTTGATTGATGCTGATATGGTTTCCGTGTTCTCTGATTTGGCGCCATTCTCCTCTTCCTCGTGGCCTTCAGCTTGTGCAGCCTTCTTGCTGGCGAACTCTGCAGCGTTTCTGATCTGCTTCTCACGGAACGCCTTTGCGCGCTCCTCGTGAGTCCTCAGCCGGCCAATTGCCTGTTCTACAGTTTTGGGATCCGGCGCTGAGGCATTCTTGTGGTATGATTCTACCCCATATCGTTCTCTTCGAACTTCTATCTGCCTATGCACAACTTCAACCATGGATATTGACAGCCACGAGTACTGTCGAAGAGTGCTGATAGTCTGTTGCGCCTGTTCTAGACAAGGTGAAAAGGTACATATATGTACCGGTGAAGTGGGATCCAGTGGTGACTCCTTTCCATCAGCAGGCTCCCTGACCAGGTGCTTGAGTGCTTGCCAGGGAGCAGGGAGATCCAGAAAAACGGCATTAGCTCGAGGCGACTCGTTACTGACCGGCCCGTCTGCTAGCAAAAACCCATCGGCACAAACATCACGGTGGTTCAGTCTCACAATCCCATCCAAGCCGTGTTCTCCTAGCTCCCGCCTGATGGTTTCCGCACGCTGCGAGTGAAATTCGAAGCTGCACACCTTACCTCGCCTGCTGTCATTTGTGCCATTGGGGTAACCATTGAATACCGCCCTTGCAGCTGCGTGAGTAAAAGAGCCGCTACCAGCACCGGCTTCAATAATTGTACTTCCAGGGCGAACGCGCAGCCGGTGTAGAATGTAGCTGCTGTCTGGAGTGTAGACCACCTGCGTCCGATGGGGCAGCGAGCTGGTCCACGACTCTGGTGTAGGCCGTAGGAGGTGTATAAAACCGCTTGATGCAGTTACTGCCGCCTTGTTCGTAGACTTGTCCTCTGATATATCGGCGTCCTCTGCCTTGCGCTTCAACGGGTTCGATCCTTTGGCCGCCTTTGGTCGGCGTCCTCGAGAGCCGGTGTCGACCTTCGAGGCGATGATCTGGGACCCCCAGGGACTGCCGATGAGTGTACTATGAGGAAACGAGCCGAACCTCGTCGTCGTGACCTTGCCTTCGTCGTAGCCCAGGTCCTCGTCGTCGTGCGTCTTGAGCACTGTAGCAATCGCATGGTCGCGGCGGAGATGCAGCACCGCAAGGGAGTCAGCCTCAGCAGTCGGCCCGGGCGTGAGAAAAGGAGACACCATCGTTTCAATTGAGCCTGGCTGTCCTTCAGCGGCTTTCTTCTCTTCTTCTCACTCTTCGTTGGTTTTATGTAGTTTCTCAACTCCCTCGTGAGCATCCAAAGAGAAAAAAAAATAATAACTAGCTAGTTAATCAAAGCACCGAGATTGCAAACAGTGCAAACTCCGTCCAGCGAGCGACTCACTTGTCTTTTCTTCTTCCTCGATGCGCAAAAGAGTCATAAAGCCGACTCAGCGCAGCGCCAGCAGCAGGACACATACATGAACCTCCTCCGGCAGAGCCTTCGTCTTCCTCGAGCCACAGTCACAGCTGCTTCGACACGCCGTCTCCGACCTGTACCCGGGCTCTGCAGAGCGTTTGCGACATCACCGTCTGTCTCTATGGCAGCTCCCCGCGAACAGCCTCCGTGGCAGCAGCCCACACCCCACCAAGGCTTGCAGCGAGAGCTGCCGCCGCTGAAGATCTGGAACTCGCTGACCAGGTCGAAGACTCCGTTCGTGCCTCTGGACCCGGAAGGGAAGAAGGTAACCTGGTACGCTTGCGGTCCGACTGTGTATGACGATGCGCATCTTGGGCACGCGCGCAACTATGTCAGCGCAGACATTGTCCGGCGTATCCTCCGGGACTATTTTAAATTCGATGTTAAATATATCATGAATATAACGGATGTGGACGACAAGGTACGTTCAGTCTGCCTTGTCCTGTTGTGCATCAATGGGTGTTGACCTTTGATCTTCTAGATCATCACTCGAGGTAGACAGCAGCACCTGTACAATCAATTCAGCGCCGAGCACCCGTCAATCGACCAAGAGCTTCTGGATACCGCCAAAGCTGCTTATGAAGCATATATCACAAAGAACCTGCCGCTAGTACCGGCATCGACGCCAGCACATGAGCTCAAAGATACCGCAGAGAAAGTATACGCTGCTGTTCTTGATGGGAAGCCCCTCGAAGGCAATTCAAAGCCAGGTGAGCCGGAGGCTAAGGTTAAAATGTATATAAAGACGCTGTCTACTGCTGCTGAGGCGCTTACGGTGGCTTCAACTCCCGGCGGTAGCATACCGGTAGCTACCTTCTACGACAAGACCCAGGATATACTATACCCCTACCTTGATACCCTTAAAGGAGCATCAATCCAAGGATCTGACCACTCGATATTTACCCGTCTGACTAAAGAGTACGAAGACCGATTTATGCAGGATGTACGAGACCTCAATGTCCTGGATCCTGACGAGATCACTCGAGTCACAGAATTTATGCCTGAGATAGTGAGCTTCGTTGAACGTATAATTGAACACAAGTTCGGATACGTGACCCCTGATGGATCCGTTTACTTTGATATTGAGAATTTTGAGGCGGCTGGAAATAGCTACGCCAGGCTTGAACCTTGGAATCGGAATGATGCCAATCGACAGTCAGAAGGAGAAGGGTCTCTATCTAACAAGCAGGCCGAAAAGAAGTCTTCTGCTGACTTTGCTCTCTGGAAAGCCTCGAAGGCTGGTGAGCCAAGCTGGCCTAGTCCCTGGGGTAATGGCCGCCCTGGCTGGCACATTGAGTGTTCTGCAATGGCTTCGTCTCGACTTGGAAAGCAGATGGATATCCATTCGGGTGGCATTGACCTAGCATTCCCTCATCATGACAATGAGATCGCCCAGAGTGAGGCATATTGGAGCTCGACTTGCTCACACGTGCAATGGGTCAACTACTTTATCCACATGGGGCATTTGTCTATCCAAGGGTCAAAAATGTCAAAATCACTGAAGAACTTCACTACTATTAGAGATGCTCTTCAAAGAGGTGACTGGACTCCTAGAAGCCTTCGCATCGTTTTCCTTCTCGGTGGCTGGCGAGATGGAATTGAGATTACAGATGAAATTGTAAAGGCTGGGAATGCCTGGGAGGAGAAAGTAAACAACTTCTTCATCAGGGCCAAGGACCCATCAGTCAAGCTCCCTGAAACCACCTCGGACGAAGAGCTCCCCGCTGCCTTAAAGGCGGCCCAAGACAGCGTCCACAAACACTTGTGCGATTCGTTCAATACTGCTGGCGCCATGTATGCCATTTCAGAGCTGATCACCAAGTTTAACAACACAAGTGAAGCCGCTCTAAGTGCCCAGAATACGCATGCGGTAGCCAAATGGTTAACATCCATGGTCAACATATTTGGACTCAACTCTACCGCAGGGCCAGATAGTGAAAATATTGGCTGGCATGGAGACGAAATTGCTGAAGAGGCGAAACCCTACGTCTATCCTCTCTCTACTATTCGTGATACCCTTCGCCAAACAGCAATCGCCAAGACTGGCCTCACACCTGATTCCATCAGATCTGTCGTGGAGGAAGGACGAAAATCCATTACTCCCGAGCTGCTTGATCCCCAGCTTACCAATTCGTTCAAGGATGTGTTCAACAATTTCTGCTCTAGTGCCACAGCTCTCACTGAATCGAGCAACCTATCAAAGGAGATTCTAGACCTCTGCGATACCCTCCGAAACACAGGCCTATTTGATCTCGGCGTCTACCTCGAGGACCGGGCTGACCTACCGGCACGTGTACGCCCCGTCACACGAGACTTGCTCCAGGCCAGACAAGAAGCTGAAACCAGAGCCAGGCAGAAGTTGCTGGAAAAGGAGGCTCGTGAGAAAGAAGCTGCTGAGAAGGCCGCAAAGGGGAAAGTAAGCCCTTTGGAGATGTTCAAGACAGAAGCATACAGTGCCTGGGATGAGGATGGCCTACCCCTGAAAGATGCAAAAGGCGAAGAAATCACCAAGAGTCAGAAGAAGAAGCTGAAGAAAGAATGGGATAGGCAGAAGAAGGCGCATGAGACTTGGCTTGCTTCTCAAAAGACTGCATGACTCTAGATCAGCTTGCCCTTCTCCTATTTTTTGACTTTTCTTTGCATCGGTAGCGCTTATTTTATAAACTACATGCATCTACACTCAATTGATTATATGGGTGAATAATTTCTTCACAATCTACATGCATATATATTATTCCTTGCTATATCCCACTCACCTCCAAGGCTAAGAGAAATAGCCAAATATGTATAATGACCGAGGTTTGCCCATCTTGTTGAGACTCACTTTCTATTCAGCTAATAAGTGTCATTAAGATGACCCATTCTGTTGCTAAGTTCTATAGATTCGGTGTGATGACCCTTATCCGACCCTCCACAGACGGAGAAATAACAGGTAATTCCTTAAGGGGATGTCTCCCTCGGATGACTGCATTTCGGGCTCTCCTGATACCCTCCACGGCCTCGTCTTGCTGCTTGCCACTTCCATCTCCACAACCATCTGCTTCGAACACTTGCAGCAAGAGGTTCGTATCCGTCATCGAGCCCTCAGCGTCAAGTAGTGTCTCACAATTCCGAAAGCAAGAATAGCCATCAAACCCTGATGCTATAAAATCCACCATGGCCACCGTATACATATCCCTGGACAATACAGCACGCCGTATCCCATGCTTTGGAACATAGAGAATATCCCCTACCCTCTGTCCCTCAGGACGACTCCAGTCTACCGCCATGATAAGCCCTGATACATGCAAAAAGCGACCATCAGTATGGGCGTCAGATACCGAATTTTCCAGAGCTTCTGCAAGAACATGGCCGCTGACACGTTTAATAACGAATGCGTTATCAAATGGGCTAATGTCAATGATATCCCGGATCCGTAAAGGTTCGTCTCTCCCTGGGTCAATAATCCTGTCACAGCGGATAGCTCCGCTGTTGATGAAGGCAATGTTCGTGTTGTAAAAGGAACGTACCACATCTGCGAGCATGTTCCCGAGATTGGACTCTCGGCTGCGGACGACCCGGGATCTTCCTTCAAGGGGGATAGCAGTTATGACGAGTGGCTTTTCCACCAGCTTGGCTATTTTTGCTTGCACGTCTGTTATAGCCTTCATGGTTATGGGGCATGGTGGTATGTTCGCATAGTTCGGCAGGGACTTCAGGTCCGCAACCTGATATACTGAATGTGTGAATTGGCTTCATGTGAGTACGTGGGTGTTAAGAAATATTAGTGAAAATGGGGGTTTCATTTCTCTTACGTTTTGACTTTGATATAGAAGACTTGCCGTCAGCTTGTTTAGAAACGGTGAGACGCAGCACCGACAGGCCATTCCAGTCAGTTCCGCTCTTGATAATGCGTATATCGCCTTCTGTGCAGAGTATTCCGGTAGCACTGGCAGAAGTGAAGCCCTGGTGGTGGACCCTCGGGTCATTATTGGAGTCTGTGGAAGATCTTTGAATGACGTCGTGGTCATGGCCACCGAGTATCAAATCAACCCTTCCACTACCAGTTTTGGTATTCTGCGAGACTGCAATGTCCTCCGCCAGCCGCATATGGGTCAATGCTATAACAAGGTCGCATTTTTTTGACTCCCGCAGATATCTTGCTGTGGTTCGGGCCACACTAACAGGGTCGCATATAGTGCAGTTGGGTAAGTGCTGGCAGTTTGACGGCCAGTCACTTGCTAACCCTTGTAAGTAGAAGATCATACACAACCGATTGATTAATTGAACACCCGGGGGTAATGATGGATATGTCATGCAAATAGGATGAACTTACGTTCCAGCCAAACCGATGAATCCAACCTTCAGCCCACCCACCTCTTGGATGATATATTTATGTGCCAGGGCTAACAACTTATCATCTCGCCCCTGAGTTGACTGCGGATTCTTCCGTAGCACATTCGTGAGCAGCTAGGGAAACTTGGTGACTTTGGATAGTTCAACTAGGCGGTCTTCGCCAAAATCGAAGTCATGGTTCCCATAGCAAGCAACATCAATGTTCATGGTATTGAGAATCGTCGGTATATGCTCACCACGAAGGACGGACGCCTCTAGAGATGGGGAGAAAGCGTCGCCGCTGAATAGCCGAAGCTGGTAATCGGGGGCAGAGACATCACGAGTGAGGTATCGTGGATTGGCCAGGATGGATGCGAAGCGTGCAACCTGTTCAGCGTCGGAGATGTGGTACTACGTTCAGAATGATTATATCAGATGTTTAAACCTATTGAATAAGGATCTCATGATTGTATAATTACCACGTCGTTAAAGTGGAGGAGGGTGATATCCTTGGTTTGGGCCATATCAATGCAATACTTATAGCCACCCCTGAAGCATTCTTGGAAGTCGATATTATTCTATCTCTCCTTTAATTATTTATCATTTAGTCTGGCAGCAGAAGGAAGCTCTTAATTTTAATATGGGCTATCGAGTGCAATATGGTAGCAAGGAAAAGTAAGGTGAATTCTTAACTATTGATCTTGATGACCTGACAGGGGTCTCAAGGCTGTCATCACAGTCATCACAACTCCACTACGAGTAGGCTTACAGGCAATGGCAAACGGCTGGTCAATGACAGTATTTACGTCTTACGCCGTGATGTCGAGATTCTGTTTACCCTGCGGCCTAGCAGCGCTCTCTAAGTGCGCTTCTGGTAGGCTGTTACTGGCTCTTTTCCCAACCCCTTAGGCAGTGACTCGACTAGGGCTGCAGCCTATCATAAGGTGACGGACTGGTCAGAGAAAGCAAGAAGAATAGTGGATGAATAAACAAAGCAAAAGCAGTGAAGATAACTAGCAAATAGAATCTGCAATATATAAAGGGGCAACGGTGGCCATCTCAGGACTTTTTCTTCTTCCAAATTTCCTCAACATGTTAACTATTCAACCCACTGCTATCCTAACAGTCATGGTCTGCCCTGCAGCCCCGCGAAGGAGTGCCAGACAATATGTATAGTTGCTGAAGGATACCAAATGGCCAAGTAGGCGTGCATCCTACCACAAAGTCGGGTTGTACCGTGTTCGCAACCGAGCGAGGGAGAATTATGAAGTATGCTCAGATTGGGAGGAAGAAAAGTCCAGCAAGACTTAATAACAGCTGTAGAAAGCTGAATTAAGACTCTAGAATACCATATATAGTTGTCAATAGCAGCGAATTAGTTGAAAAGAACTCATGATTTGCTTTGGAGATGAAGACCTCATAATGGTCCTGTAAGTTGTATATCCAGAACTTTGGACCTGCTCTCCATAAATAAAACGAAGGTTAAGTCCACTAACTAACGACCCGATTTCCTTCTTTCGTGAAAACACGGTGAATAAGTGGCCCTTGACGCTGGTGCTAGTATAGAAGGACGGCATCTTGCTTCTGACCTGAGATATAGATATATATTTATATCTATAGTCTTGCTTGAATCCGTTCATTGATGGAGCCAGGGTCCGGATTCTTTCGTCTCAGTTCCCGCTGTGTCATCTCACGAGCAACAGCTAGGAATGTCTTCACATAGTGTTCCACGATAGGCATGTCACTCTCCGTAGCCCACACAGGGAGCTTTATAGCGCACTGGTAAAATTGCAACGCATTCGGGAATTCTGTCGTTGGCTGTATCTTGCCCCATCTTTTATCACCAAATCTTGGAACAGCTTCGTGGGAATGGGTGAACAATGGCAGCTCATTCAACAAGCCTGTCGAACACGGGATGTCTACTTCCAGCAGCCCATGGACATCGACTAGTTCCTGCACAAACTCATCACGGGTGAGGCCCTCAGGCGCCTTTGAGGAATCGAATTGCATTACAAAGGCATACCAGGCATGCTTATCATTGCTGTTGTCGTTGACAACAGGCATTTTGAGAAAGGGAATAGTGGATAGGCCTTTTGCAATGTAGAAAGCATAATGTTGGCGGTATCGATCATGGACTGGCAGGAGATCAAGTTGCTGGTTTGCAAGGGCTATTGCCAGTGGGTGGGCTCGCATGTTTAGCCCTAGGCCCGTCACTATCAAGTAGATTCAGTGGTAAGTTCTATAAACTTATGAATCGATGCGGTGAGATATAGAGATGTACTTACGCCAAAATTTCCGCAATGGATGATCGTGCGGAACTTCCTGCTTCGCACGTTTATTGAAGTGCCCATGAAGAATGGCTCGGGAGTAGTAATCCGTCGAATTGGTAGCTAGGACGCCGGCCTGTCCGCCCATTACATTCTTCTTAGCCTGCAAAGACCAAGCAGCCATATCACCCCAGGATCCGACGGTCCGGCCATCAACAATCGCGCCATGGGCATGGGAGCAATCTTCCAACACCTTGATGTCCACCTTTCGAGCATTATCGACAATCTGGCGCATGCGACATGGCAATCCCCACATATGGGTGACGATAACCGCCTTTGTTTTAGGCGTGGCTCGCTTGAGTATTTCATCTGGATCGATGTTTCCATCTTCCAGGCTGTCACAGAATATAGGGACAGAACCATACGGCATTAAGGGCGATGCCGTGGCGAAGAAAGTGTATACGGGGCAGAGAACCTCATCTCCAGGTCGCAAGTCCAACGCCTCAAGCATATGGAGAATTGCTATAGTCCCAGAGCTGCATACAAGAGCGTGTTTCAAGCCATGCATCTTGAGCCATTTTTCTTCAAAGACCTCATAGATGTCGGACCTGTTGTAGATGGAGAGTGAAGAATGCATCTGACGTACAACAGCAGCCTCAGACTCGGGCGAAAGCAGTGGCCATACATGATGCACACCTGCTAGAGAAGCTTGTGCATAAGATCCAGCAGAGTTTCCGGGAGTAGTAACCGTCTCAGTGGCATTTGGGCTGTTGTATGCACGGCGAGTGGCTTCCATCACCATGACGGTATCTTCTAGGTTGGCGATAGAGGCGAGGAAATCGGACTTTGCACCGGTGACCCAGGCAGAGAATTGTTGCAACATCGAGTTGACAACATACTTCTTCTCCGAAGTGTCGTGGAAATGAAACGTTTCGTTGCCATTACTATCTCGTAGCCTTACATCTTTGCCTTCTAAGGCAAAGGTGCCGTGGGTACCAGTAATGATGAGACGTTCTTCGTTCCTGTGAGCTACTCTTGAGAGATGAACGTGACCTATGTTACGCTTTGCTGCCTCTCCAAAGTTCATAATGATGTTCGAAACGTCATCTCCCCCATATTCCTGGTCAATCCTGATGCCCTTAGTATTTTGGGCGGTGATTGAAGTCGGCCTCCCAAAGAGGGACACAATCATGTCCAACATATGGCATCCTAAGTCTTCCTATAAGAAGTAAATAATGGTTATTCCACTATATTTGGAAATAAGGCTTAATTGGGAATACATACAGTAACACCAACATCACTTGTTGCCCTCCACGTAGCGTCCAGTTCCGTGATATTGGCTGTAAGTGTTGCAGTGAATGAAGCAACCTGTCCAACCTGAGAAATGAGATCCCTCATCGCCAGATAGCGTGGCTCAAAGCGCTTCTGGAAAGTAATGCCGATTTTGACGGGAAGTTGCTGGAGCTGCTGATATTCGACCGGCGACTCTGCAACGGGTTTCTCCTTCAGGATAGGTACTCCTCTCTGAGCTAACGCCCGACAGCATTCCAAGTGGTATTGGTGTGGGACGCAGACAATCGCAAAGTCTAGTCTCTGCTTGTTGTTCTTCAGCAGATCGTCGACATCTTTGTATACATTGATGTTCGGGTGTTTCTGAGAAAATGCCTGTCGGGTCTTCTCGTTGGTATCACAGCACGCCACCACAATCCATGATCTTGGGTTCTCGAGGATGATACGAAAATGGGTCTTGTATCCACGATGGCCAATGCCAATCATAGCCACCTGAAGCGGTGACTTCTTAACGGCAGTATTCATCTCTTTTTTCTCTTATCAATAACACGCCAGAATGGCCGTAGTGTGGTTGGATCACGGTTGGATTGGGAGTTGAATAGCAGGAGAGGTGGACAGTTGAAGGTCGAGAGCGCACTGCGCAGATGTACAGTTCGAGCCAGTAAAAGAGCTTATATGGAATATCATCTTCACGGCTGAATACTCTATACTTTATCCTATCCCCTGATAAGGCGTCCTGCAAAACTACTACATAGTAGTAGCCAGGAGTGAACCAGGTCCCCGTTTCCCGAGAGGCAGAACTTGAATCAGCACAGGCCAGAAGTGCCAGTCATGGCGTAGTCATGACAAGTAGAGCTGCAGCAACACCATCATGGTACTATGCTGTATGCCAGTAACAGGGTATCTTCATCCGTATCAAACATTTCGACAATGTTGTCCATTCTTCAATATTTTTCAGCTTATTCTTTTTTTTTTTTGTTGCAAGGGATTTGGTCGTCATCTGAGTCACATGGAAACATTGCTGACTCCTCAATCTGGGTCTAGGGCCTCAGGGGGAGGAAGATTCAGGGGCCAGGGGCAGCCAGTTGGCCATCAACAGGTACTAGAATACAATACTATGCTAAATACGCTATCTAGAAGAAAGCGGCAATGGCTCCAAAGAGAGAATAACTAGTTAAGTCTTCGTAATAACTAATATATCACTTTCGGTATTCATCTAGTTACATTAACGTCTTGCTAGCTAACTAGTTAACTGGCGATGTTTATGAGCAATGCCACCTGAGACTGCATGTCCGGGTTCTCCAACACTTGCTCCATACTGACAGATATCCCATTTGCTTGATACCTTTTTGAAAGACCATAGGCAGCAATGAGATTGCCCCACACATTGTAAAAGGGAGTTCTCTCTGTCCAATATATGGCCAGCTGCTCTGGCTGACAACCCAAAGTATCAGCCCAAGCTTCCTCTACACACAACTTCTGACTCTCACGAAACTCCTGGGTGGAGAATATCACAGCATGAGATGACTGTAGCCTCACTGAATCCATGTCACTTTGAGCGAGGGTGCCGGGGAGTAGCATGGGGATAGAGGGCAACCCCATAATATCTGCTGTAGCAAGCTGGAGTGGGTCATCAATATTGTCATGGAAACCACGGATATGCCCCAGCATTCGGGTCAGCATCTTTTGTGCTAGAGACTCAGGAATGACATCTTTGCAAAAATCGAGGGCAATAAATGTCTTTTCTGGCCCAACAGGTGTGCTGAATATCGTGATGTCATGCCGATCTGCTGGGGGCCGGATCTCGTCAACCGTAAAGCGTTGTGTCTCATCCAGCTTGAAGCTTGTGGTTTCCTCGCCTAGGTTTTCGTACTCCACCAGAGTGCTGAGTCCCTCCCATGGCCGCCAGTTAGTACATTCTTCTACAATACGCTTGTATCGGAAATTTTCGAAGCTGACGGCTTCAAAGTACTGCCCTTGTATTTGCTCTAGAAGCTGTCGCCGTGTCATATTGTCTCCAATGCGGACTCGAACCGGGATATTGTCTATGCAGGCTCCGGCTACATGCTCAACTCCTGGGTACATGGCGTTCCGACCCCAAATAACGGAGCCAAAAACGACATCATCGCTGCCGGACATTTCTGCCAGAACCAGAGACCACGCAGCCTTTATTATAGTGCCGATAGTTATCTCGGAGTCTGAACGAACAGCACTAGTATCGATCATGATATCGACTTGCCCATCAAGCACGTATTTCCAAGGAATGCTGGTGTGGCGGAAAATAGAAGTCATTGTAGAACCAGCCAGTATCTTGCTCCAGAAAGCTCTTGCAGAATCCTCATTATGTGTTGCAGCAAAGTGAGAGTATGCAAAGAATGAAGTAGTTGGGTATAGTTCTTGACCGTGAAATGCAGTACCAAGCTCCCTGCATAGTCGTATGAGGCTCACTCCGTCATACTGCAAGTGAGATGCACGCATAACCATACGTTGGATTGTGCCATCTAGGCCGCGAATTAGCCAAAATTTGAGTAGTGAGCGGGAAATATCGACTGGTATGGGGGTATCTGCTTTCACAACTTCTGAGGTAGCCCGAGAAACATCTTTGGTATACATGCAATGTATAATATCAACTGAAAGCTGCTTCAGCGTGACTTGGTAGACTTTTCTCTCGAATACCAAATAGACCGTCCGCAAGATATCGTGATAAAGTATCAGCCTTTCCAGGGCATCTTGGAGATTGACAGCCGTAACACCCGTTGTAGAGAAGTCAAAGGTTATATAATTTGTACCACCGCGGGTCTTCAGGGAAGACCAGGCAAGATTTTCAATCTGATAATCAGTAGCTAGAGCAGCATCCTGTATGTCACTAACGTCCACACCCAAGCGGGGAGCTACTATTTTGGAGACAAAATCTTTGCCCTGACCAATAGGTAAAGCGGAGAAGGGTTCATATAGTGGGCTACCATCTGGCTGTGGGTGTTGATTCTGCTCTGCTAGAATATCAGATATTTGGTTCAGTCGTGGATTCGAGAGAACCTCAGCCACAGTGACCTGGAAGCCTTCACTGCGAGCTGCCACGGCGAATCTCATAGCAAGGATTGAATTTCCACCCAACCAGAAAAAGCTATCTTCTCTGCCAATGCTATTCAGTTCAACACCGAGTAAGTCTGCCCAGAGAGAAGCTACTTTAGCTTCGATTTTTGTCTGGGGTGCGGTCTTTGGTTTACCCTGAGATGAATATATCAAGAAATCCGACTCTGACAGAGGCTCGCAGGCTGCTCTGAGCAATTTTCTGTCTGCCTTTCCAGATGCATTCGTTGGTATGTATGCCAGGGGTAAATATAGTGAAGGAATAAAGTGTGTCGGTAGACGCTTAGCCAAATATTCTTCAATCTCAGCTGCTCTAGTTCTGGATCTATCAGATGCAGGTAGCAATAGATCATGCGTTGGCATAGTGATACAATCACTGCGTGCATCCAGAAATGCAATGAGCATCGGTTGAAATTGGCGGTATGAAGGACGAATGATTTCTACCACTGAGCCAAAATTCGACCCACAGAGTACTTGATTTATGTGATATTCAATCTCACCAAGTTCTATTCGATGACCTCGGATCTTGACTTGTGCGTCTCGACGACCAACGAACTCCAAGTTGCCGTCAGCAGTATATCGAACAAGGTCACCTGTATAGTAGATTCTCTGATGTCTAGTTTCATCCTTCATCCACGGTATACAGTTTCTGAACGAATCCGCATTTAGGGTATCATTCTGCAAGTATCCTCTTGCAACAGTTGGGCCTTGTAGAGCAAGCTCACCCACAGCCCCGATAGGTGCAAGCCTTTCCCGGTTATCGATTCGAACAATCCACGCATTAACTGCTCTAAGAGGTTTGCCCAGGTGGCTAGGATCTCGGATTCCTTTGGATAGCAAATGAACTGCTGCTCCAACTGAGTTCTCTGATGGACCGTAGAGGTTGAATAGTTCGACTTCGTCTGCCCAGGTCTCAATGATATCGTCACTGGTCACCTCCCCCCATGTTGCAAGAGTTTTCAGGGTGGGGACATTCTTTGGTGTCAGTGTCCTAGCAAGAGTCGGTGTCATACCCACCCAGTTGACCTGCAAGTCATTTATGGCCCCTGACAGGTCATTGAGACGGTTCTCTTCAGATGGAATACAGACACAGGCACCCACGAGCAGTGTAGTGATAACCTCAGTCAAAAATGCATCAAAGCTATGACTTGCAAATTGGAGAACTCTGGACTCCTTGTTCATATGGTATGCTTCGATCTGGGAGATTGCGTTTGCCATATAGGTACGATGTTCCATTATGATCCCTTTGGGCGTACCACTGCTGCCAGAGGTGAATTGAATGTATGCAGCATCCTCTGGCTTAACTCTGGTCGAAACGAACGTCCCGGCATGGTCTGATTCGGACAAATTGCCGTCAAACAGAGAATCATAGACGGCTATCTTGGTAAGTGATATGTCAAGTGGTATCCCTGGGGAGTCCTCCAGATCTTTGCCAACGAGCAGGACGCTCGCGCCGGTAGCCTGTAGAATATACCTGCACCTCTCTCCCGGATGGTCATGATTCAGGGCCACCGCGGCTGCACCGGCCTTGAAGATACCGAGCAAGCAGACAGCCGACCACTTTGACTTGCCGAACAAAAAGGCCACAGTGGACGATCCTGGGTCGACGCCAGCTTCATGGAGCTTCCAAGCAACACGAGATGAAAGGATGTCCAGCTGGCGATAGGTTAAATCACCGTCCCAGGCGCAGACTGCAGGGCTCTCAGGCGACTCTTCTACTCGTTTGCATATCTCATCATGGAGGCAGACATCGTAGGAGCCTAGGTCTCGACTGTTCCAAGCTGCGATGTTGCGCGCGTCGGTGGCTGTGAGCAAGTTCAAATCACATAGCCGCTGGCCTGCATTCTCGATAAGCTCCCAAATGGTCTTTGAGAGCAGTTCTGCGAATCTTCTGGCCTGTACCTCGCTGAAGATGCTGGCCGGGTAGTTGATGCTGATTTCTCTTAGTGGGAGATTCACTTCGATGGCCAAATGGGCGCGTGTTTTCTTTTTATCCCAGCACAAGACATAAGCTGTTGAACATCCCACATCAGAGATGGAGTTATAAACGACTTACAGGCGAATAACGAGGAGAATCAACATGATCGATTCCTTTGCCGGTCTCTGCGTTGGCTCCAGAGTCAGAGTCTCGAATCGAGAGTATGGTGTCAAAGAGGCCAGTAGAGCCAGCGAGATCAAGCAGATTTGGGCTTGAATCACCAATAATTGGAAGCTCTATCTCCTCGATCAACTGAGAGAGGCTTGAGAAGGTCTGCTGGCCATCGAGGTGACAACGGAGCAGGCTGTTAGTGCTGCCAATTTCGACTCCAATGCATACATCCTCCACGCCGGCGTAGCTCCCAACGGCGGAGCAACAGGCGATCTTCATTATTATACCCCCCGGGACCTGGTGAGAACGGCTGAATTCCACCAGCGCGTTTATATCTAATGCATCA